GTGGTGCCTTCTTCCCGTTATAAAAAATGGGGAGGTCGGGCCTTTGCCGTGTACGGCCCGGTATTGTGGAACGCTCTGCCATTAGATTTACGCTCTATAACTGAACTAGTCCCGTTTAAATCGGCACTGAAAACATATTTTTTTAAACAAGCTTTTTATGCTTAATCTCTCTAGACTCCTCTTGGCTTTCTATTTTATTGCAGCTTTATTCTAGCTTTTCTGAGGGGTGTCAGCTTGGACAGGAATTATGCTATAGATCGATGAATGTATAATCCTGTCATATGTCTGCTTAGGGGGAAGCATGGTCAGGGATTAAGCGGTAGAAGATGAATGAATGTCTACTTAGTTGATTTTTATTCTGATATTGATATTTTGATGATTTGGCTTTTAATTTTTTTGATGTAGCACCTAGTGCTCTTTGAGCTGGTAGGTGCTTTATAAATAAATTTTATTATTATTATCATAATGCACAGCGCGTTTCACCCCAATTCCAGCATCCTGAGACTGTAGTGGGAGGAAGGAGGCCGAGGATTAGTGAACATCAGAGCCACTATCCAGGATGAAACAACAAAGATCCATGAATACATCAGGAAGATGGCCCCGAGTGATGAGATGCTTAGTGAAGACCTCAGGCAGCAGAAACCAGAGGAACCAGGGAAGGAAGAGCAGGAACCCTCATGGCATGGAAGGACAAACCTCTGCACGGTATGTACCACCGTCAAATAGTAGAAGTGGCTGATATCGAAAAATCCTACCAGCGGCTGGACAAAGCTGGACTGAAAGACAGCACAGAGGCACTAATCGTGGCAGCACAAGAACAGGCTCTAATCAATAGAGGCCGGGGTCTATCATACCAGACAGGACCCCAGGTGCAGGCTGTGCAAAGATGCCCCTGAGACAATCCAGCACATAACAGCGGGGTACAAGATGCTAGCAGGTAGGGCATACATGGAACGCCATAACCAGGTGGCTGGCATAGTGTACAGCAGGAGTGTCAAACACAATCGCACAGGGGGCCAAAACTCAACGCACACTTTAGGTCGCGGGCCGAACAGGATAAACATTTATTGAACAGACTAAAACTAAACGTTGTTTGAACATAAATATGAATCGAAACAGACAGGATACAACATTATTCCAAAATAAATAAACTTGACCTTAAAATCAGCAACCGTATTTCTGCTAAGGCTTACATTTGCAAACACCTGCTTTTTATCTGGACACAAGACGTCACACACTTTCATCACGCAGCTCTTCAGAAACTCTCCCTCGCTAAATGTCCGGGCTGATTTTCTCCTCCGCCACAATAAAACTTGCTTTCACAGCAGCTTCACTGTGTGATTTCGCTTTGGTGAAAACGTCTGCTGTGATGTCAGATTCCTCTCCAACTCCTCTACCTTCTCTAGCGTCTGCTCTGCATTCACGTTTTTCAGCTTGTCCTGATGTTTTGTCTCGTAGTGCCGTCTTAGGTTATATTCCTTAATTACAGCCACGTTAGCTCCACAAATAAGACACACGTGTTTACCAGCAATGTCAGTAAACATATACTAAGCCTCCCACTGGTTTTGAAAGGCTCTGTTTTCCAAATCAACTTTTCTCTTGGCCATTGTTAGGGGCTAGCTTTGACTTGAAATTAGGGTTGTATACATCAACAGACGCTTGATTGATCTGACGTAATTGACACGGGAATAATCGCAGGTAGTCTATCGTTCGGTAAGGCAGCTGTTGTGCTGCATTATGGGATTTGTAGTTTTTGTGTTTTCAGCGCTTCATATCACTGGGCCATTAAAAAAAGATGTATAAAATGATCTCGTGGGCCGGAGGTAATTGTATGCCAGGCCGGATGTGGCCCGCGGGCCTTAAGTTTGGCACATGTGGTGTACAGAAACATCTGTGCTGAGTACAGGCTGGAAGTCCCAAAGTCAAAATGGGATACACCTCCAAAGGTTGTTGAGAATGACCAAGCTAAGATCCTGTAGGACCTCCAGATACAAACTGACAAACTGGTAATGGTCAACCAACCAGACATAGTAGTGGTGGACAAACAGAAGAAGAAGGCCGTAGTGATATATGTAGCAATTCCAAGCGATAGCAACATCAGCAAGAAGGAACACGAGAAACTCGAGAAATATCAAGGGCTGAAAGAAGAGCTAGAAAAGATGTGGAGGGTGAAGGCACAAGTGGTCCCTGTGGTAATAGGAACATTGGGGGCTGTGACCCCAAACTGGGAGAGTGGCTCCAACAGATCCCAGGAGCAACATCTGAGATCTCTGTCCAGAAGAGTGCAATGCTAGGAACAGCTAAGATACTGCGCAGGACCCTCAACCTCCCAGGCCTCTGGTAGATGACCCAAGCATATAGCTTAGGACAAACTAGAGGGAGGAAACTTACTGCTGGCGTAGGGGAAAACCTGTATTGAACTGAAATGGACTGAACCGAGCTGAACTGGGGGAAAAAAACAAACCAGTAATGAACCATGTGGTTTCAGTGGTTCATTTATTTTCTGTTGGATCTTTGTTTTATTTAATAGTGTTATAATAAAGGATAACATTTTTTGCAATGCCGTATGCTTGTGTCTGTTCTAAAATCACACAATGTATGGTTAGGATGTATTTGCTTTGCACTGCATCATTTGTGGGGGACTGACTTTAGACTAATGCATTAACAGCTGGTCAGACTTGACTTTCTTCAACAGGTGTTTCTACTGAAAATAGCCATTTTGTTCACTTATATGTATCCTTAACCTTTTTCAATCATTTTTGTGAACAGCAGTGTAGCAGACCCGAAGACAGAAATAAACATGTTTGGAGTTCTTCCCCCTTGTTTTTCACGAACACAAGCTTGTAAAAAGGTCAGACAAACAAAAACACCAGGGGACACGGTGTTTGTAAATACCTTGCTCTCTGAGCCAGCCCCTCTCTTGAATGAAGCCTATGAAGGGAGCGATTCCTGTCCCAGGGCCAACCATGATCACTGGGTTGGTGGCTTTGAAGGGCAGACGGAACTGAGACTTGCGGATGTACATGGGAACGGTGGACTTGTAGCCGTTGTCAGTGACCAGTTTGTTCTTCAGCCAATTGGTGGCAACTCCCTTGTTGATGCGGCCAGTCTTGGTTGTGTACTCCACCACTACGGCACAGATGTGGATACTGTTGGGGTGGACCTACAGAACAGAAGAGAGTTACTAGCAGCCTTTATGTCTCAGATTAGACCAACAATGTTTGCCAATATTAATATAAAATGCCATCTATAGAGTAAATTAAACACAGCACAACAGCCTTGCGTGTAATTTCTCCAGGAAACTACCTTGGAGGAGGATGCAATGGAATAATAGCGAGCCTGGAGGCGAGGCAGTAGCTCACACAGGTGGTCAACAGGAGGTTTAAGAGAGGGCATATCCTCCAGGACGGCAAGGATGTTTCTACTGGCATCCAACACCCAACTCTGGTAGAGTGCCTGTAGAGGGGCAGGAACACAAAGACAGTTAACATGAAAAGGCGAGGAAGAAAGGGCATCACAAATGCACAGTGCTTGCAATATTGTGCATTATAACACTGCCTTATCTTATCCATCCACCCATCACAGACCTTGCCTTCGGGTGAGGAGGAGGCCATCTTGCGCATGTTCTCTTGGTCTTTGGGATCAGAGGCGTACTGCGCCAGCTCATAGAGGACGTTGGTGCGAGGGGGATGTGTGATGTCCAGATAGTGAGTCAAGGCTGTACGGTAGGTGGTGGGGCAAGGGAAGGGGTGCTTCTTGTTGGACTCCTCTGAAAAATACAAACTTTATTCTTTTGATCACTCATCAAAATTGAAATATGATGCAACACTTGTTCATGTATTATTTTATAATAAGCACTTCATTGTTTGACACACTTAATTTTCAGTAATGTTGATATAGCCCTAAAGAGGAGCTGCCTTACTTATCACTTATGCAACTATCAAGTACATCTGATGGCCTTCGTAATGACAGGAAACTCATTTACTCCTGGAAAAAAGTCAGCAGCCTATATTACAGCAATAACATGTAATTGCAGTAATATAACATCACAGTACTACAAGTATCAAGGATCACAAGGACCGCAAATATTTTGTGAGACAGTTTGAGGGACGAGCTAGCAGCGTCAATGCCATACCATCAAGGTTGTTGAGAGAGATAACCACATCAAGGTCCACCCCAAGGGCCTGTCCCAGCTTGTTCACCAAACCAGAGTCATTCGTAGGGAAAACAGCAACATGATCTCCTGATTCGTATCTGAAAACGTGGAATGTGACAAAGTGACACTTTAATCAGCTGTAACTGATTAAAGCTTTAAAACATTACTTCAAAGTTGTTCATCACATCAGATGAAAATTGGGATATGGAAAAGCATTGTCAGGCAATTAACATGAAACATCCGGTCTGTCTCACCTGATCTTGGAGCCTGTTATGTCTAATTCCAGGTGCATAAGATGTCTATCGCCGCCTTTGTTGAGTCTACGGTTGATAGTTACTGGGGCCAGGAAAGGGTTTTTAGAGTCAAAGGGCCTATAAATAAAAAGCAGCACTTAATGTAAAAAAGCCACTACAAAGTCATAAGACACTTAAATCACATCTGAATTAAAAAAAAAAATCCCAAAACCTTGTTCTCTGTAAATACATCGATGACTTTACCTTTTCATTAAAACAAGCAGCACAATTGTGTTTCCATGTCCACTAGGGGGCATAAAGCTTCATACTTTCAGACTGAACTTTAGTAAACCTTGCAGCTGATTAAATCTAGGTGATATGTGAGCACACAGCACTTTATGACGAATGACTTCTGCTGACTGGTGACTCTCCTACTTACGGCTTTTGGACCTCAAAACTCTTTAGGCGGCCGATCTCTCCCGTGTACACTTTGTTCATGTTGATGTCTGTGTGCTCCTTCAGCTCGTACTGTCGTATGCTGTGAAGCAAAATAACTTATAGTTGGTCTATTCATACATACATAGTTACAAATCTACAGACAGAGTGAGGATGCTCATACAGAGACACTATAGTAAAAATTGCTGGTAAGATGAGGCAATATACTCTGATCAGCCATAATATTATGACCACTGCCAGGTGAAATGAGTAACACCGATTCTCTCATTACAATGACACCTGTCAGGCTGTATTAGGCAGCAAGTGAACATTCAGTCCTCAAAGTTGATGTGTTGGAAGCAGGAAAAACATGCAAGCATAAGGATCTGAATGACTTTGACAAGGACCAAACTGTGATGGCTGACGACTGGGTCAGATCATCTCCCACACTGCAGGTCTTGTTGGGTGTTCCTGGTTTACAGTGCTTAGTACCTACCTACAGTGTCTACGGAAGGACAAACACTGAACCGGTGACAGGGTCATGGACGCCCAAGGCTCACTGATGATGAAACTGACCTACTGTAGATTAAAATTTTCATTTTCATTCATCCTTTTCAGAAAAATGAGAAATACTGTAAATTGGTCTCTATGAAGAGAAACATTCAGTGGTTATAGTGGTGATATCACACCCAGAGCGGAGAGGCTGTTGAATTTGTCTAAACAATTCTCTCTAATTTGTCATTACCACCACAGTTTTCACTCCTTTTATATAGGTTTTTCACTGCTCTTCCTGACAGTATAACTGTGGAAGCTAACAGATTCACAGAAGATGCTCAGTGAGCTGCAGAGTGACACAAGTGCCAAACAACTGACTCCTGTGTACACAGTATTAGGCAGGTGGTCATAATGTTGACTGATCAGTGCAAATAAGGCTGAGGTAAAGATAAGACCATAAAAAAAAAGAAAACAGTAAAGAGCTCAATGATCAAATACATGAAAAGTCTATGAATGTACCTTGATTCATCTCCTAAGGCTTCCACTCCAAAGTGCTCACAGACGGCCGGCCAGAACTGCTCTCTCCAAGAAATGAAGTCTTCTTCCAGACTGAAAAACAAAAACAGGCCATTTCAAAAAGGCTGATTAAATAAGGACTTTTGTTTTCAACAATGGAGTGACCCTCTCTTTTAAAATAAGCTCTCCAAAAAGGCTGCAATTTTCATTACATCTCACAAGTGAATCCAAAACAAACAAACAAAAAAAATGTATTCATGGTTAATCCCTCAATCAAATTATACGTCTCATGTGTGATGACAACAAAAAAGGTACACAGACTGCTCAGAATGTAAAGAGTTAATCCTCTGAGGGGGTGTGAATGTTCTCAGTAAGTTTCATATCTTACTGGATTTCAACCTTTAGGGTGTACAAAAAGAAGATCCAAGTTCTGCTGCCTGCCATGTACTTAAAGGATCACTGATTGTATCCACATCATGTACAGTGCCTTGCGAAAGTATTCGGCCCCCTTGAACTTTGCGACCTTTTGCCACATTTCAGGCTTCAAACATAAAGATATAAAACTGTAATTTTTTGTGAAGAATCAACAACAAGTGGGACACAATCATGAAGTGGAACGAAATTTATTGGATATTTCAAACTTTTTTAACAAATAAAAAAACTGAAAAATTGGGCGTGCAAAATTATTCAGCCCCCTTAAGTTAATACTTGGTAGCGCCACCTTTTGCTGCGATTACAGCTGTAAGTCACTTGGGGTATGTCTCTATCAGTTTTGCACATCGAGAGACTGAAATTTTTGCCCATGCCTCCTTGCAAAACAGCTCGAGCTCAGTGAGGTTGGATGGAGAGCATTTGTGAACAGCAGTTTTCAGTTCTTTCCACAGATTCTCGATTGGATTCAGGTCTGGACTTTGACTTGGCCATTCTAACACCTGGATATGTTTATTTGTGAACCATTCCATTGTAGATTTTGCTTTATGTTTTGAATCATTGTCTTGTTGGAAGACAAATCTCCATCCCAGTCTCAGGTCTTTTGCAGACTCCATCAGGTTTCCTTCCAGAATAGTCCTGTATTTGGCTCCATCCATCTTCCCATCAATTTTAACCATCTTCCCTGTCCCTGCTGAAGAAAAGCAGGCCCAAACCAGGATGCTGCCACCACCATGTTTGACAATGGGGATGGTGTGTTCAGGGTGATGAGCTGTGTTGCTTTTACGCCAAACATAACGTTTTGCATTGTTGCCAAAAAGTTCGATTTTGGTTTCATCTGACCAGAGCACCTTCTTCCACATGTTTGGTGCGTCTCCCAGGTGGCTTGTGGCAAACTTTAAACGACACTTTTTATGGATATCTTTAAGAAATGGCTTTCTTCTTGCCACTCTTCCATAAAGGCCAGATTTGTGCAGTATACGACTGATTGTTGTCCTATGGACAGAGTCTCCCACCTCAGCTGTAGATCTCTGCAGTTCATCCAGAGTGATCATGGGCCTCTTGGCTGCATCTCTGATCAGTCTTCTCCTTGTATGAGCTGAAAGTTTAGAGGGACGGCCAGGTCTTGGTAGATTTGCAGTGGTCTGATACTCCTTCCATTTCAATATTATCACTTGCACAGTGCTCCTTGGGATGTTTAAAGCTTGGGAAATCTTTTTGTATCCAAATCCGGCTTTAAACTTCTCCACAACAGTATCTCGGACCTGCCTGGTGTGTTCCTTGTTCTTCATGATGCTCTCTGCGCTTTAAACGGACCTCTGAGACTATCACAGTGCAGGTGCATTTATACGGAGACTTGATTACACACAGGTGGATTCTATTTATCATCATTAGTCATTTAGGTCAACATTGGATCATTCAGAGATCCTCACTGAACTTCTGGAGAGAGTTTGCTGCACTGAAAGTAAAGGGGCTGAATAATTTTGCACGCCCAATTATTCAGTTTTTTATTTGTCTGCCCTCTACACCATGAGACGACAGACATCAGCATCTCTTTCTGAGCTCAGAGGATTAGTCACTTACTTGCCGTCATCATCTCCCAAACCAAGGTCAAAGATGCGGTTGGCTCCCAGTTCTTCCAGCCTTTTGTCGACGTATTTTCCCATTGCATTATAGTGCTCATATGTCTTGTTGCCAAGCGCAAACACCTGGTCACAAAGCAGGGTACAACAAGGAACAGTCAGTCAGTGACCCTTGCTAAATCAAACAAACTGTTAAACAGGAGCAAAGACTTGATATTTTCTGTTATTGGGAAATGCTAATGATTAATCTAAAATTTGTCTTATGTCAATTAATCAGTGTGGATGTTTAACTGCTTTTCTATTTAATTCTGTCTTTTCAACTTTGGCACCCCGGCAATGACACAAAAGCAGACTGACAGACCAGATACGACAACACACAATGCTAGACAAGCCTGTGTTATTTGTGTGGTAAACAAATTAACAATGTTTACCACTAACACAAACAATTCCTATATATTTTTTAAAACCATAGTTTACACAGTTTTCAGGCTGGCAAGAATTTGAACAACTTGCACAAACAAAACGAGTATAAAGACTCACAGTGTAGTTTAGTCCAGAGAGGTTTTCATCATCATTGTCCTGCAGCCAGTCATAGAAGTCCTGAGCGTTATCTGTTGGGTCTCCCTCTCCATAGGTGGCCATGCAAAATATGGCAAGGGAGTTTTTAATCTCCGTCAAACGGGACAGTTCCCCCTGGATGGCACATCAGAATCATGAGAGTGAGTGCTGAACAAATAATTTTAGGAGGTTTGACTTCAGTATTCAACTGACTGTCTCAAGAGCTGCCCTGTCAGCAAACTAGGAAGTTATTACATGTGACTAACAAATCAAAGGACATTGTCTGTGCCTATACTGGGTCTCACATTCATGGACAAAGCTTGAGCTCATAATATTGTGCAGTTATTATTACTGTGACTGAAAGAGTATACACATTTTGATATAGGTGTGTGCTGTCCTTGGGTCGTCATGGACTCATTAGTCTGGTCTTGATTTATTGCAGCATTACAACTTAATGGCAGCTGCATAATGACTAAAGCTTGATCTATGGTTCTGTGTTGAATCTAAGTAGAGCCTATGCCTTAGACTACGTAATGGCCTAGAGTGTTGTGAGCATTTCTAGTTATGCAAAGGTGTGTGTGTGTCGCCTTGCGACTACACCGTCACAGCGTTAGCTGGTGGGGGGTTTCTGTGCCACTGTGTTGTGTTTCTTCACCACTTACTAAGAACTGTGACTGAACCTAGTTGGTCATGTTGGAGTTAAAACTAATATCTGTTGAGCAGCTGACTGAAGAATCACATGACTGGTTACTTTGGCACATTTTAATACTTTTTCCACGACACTACCACAGATCATTCATTGGAAGCTATATCGAGTATCCTCCAGCGGAATGTGTCAGTTTTGATCCTGTGTCTTGTGCGTTGTTCCACTTGATGCAAATTACCATGTCATATTCCTCTGGATCGGCAGCCATTCCTTTCATGGCGTAGCGCTGAGCATCTTTGGACAGTCTGTTAGCAAATTCCTCTGCTGTGCCCGTCTGTGAGCCGTAGAACACAATGATGTTCTTGCCCTGGTTACAAACAGGCAGAAAATCACTTACAGGCTGCATCTAAATCCCATCTGCCGCAACTAAAATTAACAGCCACCCTGTCTCTTCCTTCTTGTTATACAGCTGATGCATTACATCTAATTTACCTAAAATATATTCTTAAAATGCATTGTCTGCCAAATGCAATATTTGCCAGCTTCTGTATGCGACAAGGAGATGATACTGACACTGTCACAAATTGCTCAAAATAATTATTCGTGTTGTCTGTTGGTTTGCTGATCTCTGACTTACAAAAAAACTCGCACTGATCTGACCCCAGAAACACACAAACTTTCCCAGCTCACATAAATGAGTGTGTGTGTGTGTGTGTGTGTGTGTGTGTGTGTGTGCGCGTGTGAAGGCACAGACAGGTGTGGCTGAACTCACAAACACCTACAATAAATTAACAACTATTCTGTTAATTGTTTAGAGCAGTGTGACAACATGGCTCACTAGTGTCAGAAGTTTTACAAACTAGGTTAATCCGTATTGAAAATAATCAATAGTTGCAAATAAAATAGTTCAGCAGAGCTCCACCTTATTAATGCAAGACCTTTAGTAACACGAGTAGGCTACTTTTACAGTGTGATATTAGTACTTTTACTTAAGGATGTGAATACTTCCTCTACTACTGATGCTATCATGCAAACTAACATGCTTGAGTTATATAACGTGATAGTTACCGTACATGCTGTTTTTATTAATCATCCTTATATGTAACTCTGTTTACGCTTTAAGGTCAATCTAGTGCAGCAATCCAGCTCGATCAGCTGGCACAATCACTTGAAATAAAAGAAGACCCTTTTTGTTTTTCATTCTTCTGAGGGTCACTGTAGCTGATAATAGTAGCAATTGTGTAAAACCATAATACAGTGAAATCGTGATATTTTTGGAGACAATTATCATACAGTGAAAATCTCGTAGCGTTGCAACCCTAGTTTCCATGATAACTCATAACAAAGAAAAACACTGGCTAAATTAGAAAGCGCTGGGGGCCAAATATCATTTCTGCCATCAGCATAGTATCTGAACTAAATGCTGCAAAACCACATGAACTCAAACCCAAAGCTTTTTTCCTCATGACTGGTCTGAAATCACCAAAGTCAAAACAATCTTTCCAAATTACAAACAGCATACAGCAACAGGGAGACGTTTCAAGTCAAGGCTGATTTTCAACAACAAACTGCAAGCAGTCGGGGGAAAAAGAGGTATTTGGCAACAAACCGGCTCCCAGAGAAATGTAGAAAAACAAGCAACGCCACTCACTGTCTTCTTCATTTTCTCAATGAAACTTGTCTCTTTTGTGGTGGGTGTTCTGGGGGGGAAAAAAAAGATTTGACTTGTTATTAAATATTTTGCATAAACACTTAAATTGTTCTGACATAACACTGATTAAACATACTGTCCAGTGTTCTTCAAACACCAGTTGTGGAAATACTGTATGTACAAAATTCAAAAAGAAAGAAAACAGATTTCAAAGTTGTTGGTCATTAATTTTTGATAAGCTGTCAGATAATATTCAGACATGTATTTTATTTTTTTACATCAAATCCCAATTCTTTGGTCAAACTACATTTGAGCTTCATTCACAAACATAAGTTTGACTTCATTATTTTAAAAATTGTATTTTTAGGGGGGGTTTCAGCTGGTCATAACTGTAAATACAGACTTATTTTCTGGCTGAATTTAGAAACATTATTTATGTAAATAAACCTTGAACAGCATTCAATTATCATTAGGTAACTAAACCACACGGAATTACAGAGGAGATACTTTGCCATGTCTCCAGCAGCTGTAAGAAGAAGTTACAAATACTGTATACTATACTGTATACCTGTTAATAAACTTCATTATTCATTAG